CTGTTAATAAAAGCTTTTCTGTTTATTCCTGCCAAAGTGGGCAAGTTGACATTTTTCTTACTTTATAGTCCATGTGCGACTTTTTGCTCTCTCACTTAACTAACTATTTATCTTTGCACAGTGCTGCAGCGAAAGAGTGATGTTGAACCATATATTTTTTTCAGTATCATGTATTGCTCATTGCTGCATTGAAAGAAGGCTTGCTCAGTGTCATTTTGGCAAAATTGAAAACTCTCCTTATCAATGAGTTTATTGTTTTTATATATTGTGCATACAGGAAATCTTAGAATTATAGAATATCACTTAGAATTATTGAATATTTTGCTGATTTATATTTTGTCTGAACAGTAAGATATTTGAAATTTCAGTAATTCACAATATGTTCTGTTGCCTTTTTTTTTACAATTCATGTGATTTTATAGTTTTGTTGAAGATTAGTTCTCCTGTGATCTCAGTTGCTTTGGGACTTGTATACAGCACTTGTCCATAGTTCCACGTATCTATAGTAAGCAGAAAGGAGACAAGTGTGGAAAACAACTACATACTTAACATTTAAAAAAAAACTGCTGATGCTGGAAATTTGAAACAAAGACAGAAAATGTTGGAGGATCTCAACAGGTCTGGCTGAATCTTGGAGAAATGAGTTAACGTTTCGAGTCCACTAATTCCTTGTCAGAATTGAAAACAGCTGGGAAAGGATAGAATTGATGGTGATGACAGAGTTGGGTGTGAATAAAGTACATGGAGACTGGCCCAGAGAAAGAAAAAAAGGGTTCAGTAAATAATGAGATGACTGGTCGTAAGCCGAGCGATAGAGATCTAGGGAGCGTGCTAACAAGAAGTGTCAGTGGTTGAAATTGTGTTGATGTGTTCGCAACCCATACAAAACAGGAAATAGAGGTTTTGGGGAATGTTAATGAATATACAGGAGGGTGTTAATGTTTTAAAATTGTTAAACTCAATTGAGTCCTTAAGATTGCAAGTTATTGAGGTGGGAAATAAGGTCTTGTTCCTCCAGCTTGTGTTGAGATCGCCAGAGCACTGCAGCAGGCTCGAAACATAAATGTTGGAACACGGAGTGTTGAACTGGCAGGCAACTGGAAGTTCGAGGTTATTTTAATGAATAGAGCGTAGTTTTTTAGTCTCTTGAATGTACCTTCTGTTGCCCACACTGCATTCAATCTAGTCTACTGTATTCACTGCTCACAATGTAGTCTCCTCTACATTGGGGAGATGAAACACAGACTGGATGACCACTTTGCCGAACACCTGTGCTCTGTCCGTAAAGGAGTGACCCTGAGCTTCCAATTGCTTATCACTTCAACACACGTCCGTGTTCCTATGCCGATGTTTTTGCCTTGGGCCTGCTGCAGTACTCTAGCAAGGCTCAATGCAATCTGAAGGAACAGATTAATCCTCCTGGTCAGATGGTTACCAACTCCTGTTGTCTATCCAACTGCTCTTCTCCTTCTTTACGCTCTATCCTTTATCCTATCATTTACTCCCTATCCCATCTCCCTCCCTATCTTCTGCATTTTCCGAGCTACCACCAGTTCTGAGGAAGGGTCACTAGACCCGAAACGTTAACTCTGATTTTTTTTTTCACAGATGCTGCCAATCCTGCTGGGCTTTTCCAGCAAGTTCTGTTTTTGTTCCTGAAGGAACAACACTCATCTTCTGCCTGGGTGCCTCAGCCTTAAGGACTCAACATTAAGATTAACAATTTCAGTATGTGAACACACTCCTTTGTTTGTTCAGTCTTCCCCTCTGTCTTGTCTTGTATGGGTTGCACCCAGCACAGCCAACCCATTTTCAACCACTTACACTTTCCATTAGAACCCTGATTACTATCATTGATCGCTACTTCAAATTATCGCAAGCAATCTTTATTTGCTTAGCCCTTTTTTTCTCTCTCCCTCTGTCTCTCTGGGCTCTGCCTCCATATACTCAATTCAGTCCCCCACTCATCAGCAAAAATGTCACCCTTTCCCAGTGATTTTAATTTCTGACGGAGGATCATTGAACTCGGAGCGTTAACTCTATTTGTCTCTCCACAGATTCAGCCAAACCTGCCGAGTTTTTCCAGCACTTTCTATTTTTGTTTCACCTTGCTTTAATTGCAGTGACAAAACTGAATAATATTTGGCTATTATAATTCTGTTCTTTCAGGAGTACCTCATTAGATGTGGAACCAATTTATACATTCAGAGCCCATATGTAAGTAACATCAGTTTTCCGATAGGTTATTTTATTATGCAAATGTTCACCAATGCATAGTGAAATCCCTTTAAAACTTGTACAGAAAAAGAGAGAAAATTGTTTGTTATTGCTTTGTAATTTAACAGGAAATTTTGCAAATCTAAATATTCCTTTATAATTTAACAATTCTAACAAGACAGATTATTGATATAATATTTTTTAGCAGCTCAATAATAATTGTCTAGACAGCAATTACTTACTAGTAATGTTAACATGGTAAATTTGATATAGTACATTTTTGTTTGACTTTTTTCTTTTGTGTCCAGTGGACCTGTACTGTCTTTGACTATTAGTTCTAATGGTGAGCAGTGTTTCAGTGGTGGAATTGACGCTACAATACGATGCTGGAATATGCCAAGTCCCAATGTTGATCCATATGATACATATGGTATGTACTAAATGAAAATTCATGTTGAAAATTACTACTTGCTCTTCACTTATTCAGTAGTCTGTTTTGAAACATTTCTTTGTTTCATGGTAGACTGTTCAGGAAGGTTAGATCATGTGAATTACAGGGAGAACTAGCCATTTGAATACAGAACTAGCTCAAAGATAGAAAACTGATGATGGTGGTGGAGGGTTGCTTTTCAGACTAGAGGCCTGTGACCAGCGGTGTGCCACAAGGATCTGTGCTAGGTCTACTGCTTTTTGTCATGTTATATAAATTATTTGGGGGGGTTGTGAACCTGGGAGCTATGATTAGTAAGTTTGCAGTTGATGCCAAAATTGGAGGTGGAGTGGACAGTGAAGAAGGTTACCTCCAGAATACAACAGGATCTTGATCAGATGGACCAATTGGTCAAAGAGTGGCAGATGGAGTTTAATTTAGATAAATGTAAGGTGTTGCATTTTGGAAGGGCAAATCAGGGCGGGACTCATATCTGGCTCTTTGTAGTTTACGTGGAATAATCCCTCTTCCATGCCTACACTGGTCCTAAACCCCACCTCTTCCTCCGTTACATTGATGACTGTATCGGCGCCGCCTCATGCTCCCGTGAGGAACTCGAACAGTTCATCCATTTCACCAGCACCGTCCATCCCAACCTTAAGCTCACCTGGACCATCCCTAATACCTCTCTCTCCTTCCTGGACCTCTGTCTCCATCTCCAGCAACCACCTAGAAACCGATATCCATTTCAAGCCCACCGACTCCCACAGCTACCTAGAATACACCTCCTCCCACCCACATTCCTGCAAAAATGCCATCCCCTATTCCCAATTCCTTCGCCTCCACCGCATCTGCCCCCAGGATGAGGCATTCCACTCCCGTACATCTCAGATGTCCTGTTTTTCAAGGACCGCAACTTCCCCCCGTCGGTGGTCGAGTACGCCCTCGACCGTGTCTCCCGCATTTCCCTGCAACTCATCCCTCACACCCCCTCCCCGCAATAACAACCAAAACAGAATCCCCCTCGTCCTCACGTACCACCCCACCAACCACTGGATCCAACGCATCATCCTCCGACACTTCCGCCATCTGCAATCCGACCCCACCACCAAAGACATCTTTCCCTCCCCACCCTTATCTGCTTTCCGGAGGGACCACTCTCTCCGTGACTCCCTTGTCCGCTCCACACTATCCTCCAGCCCCACCACACCCGGCACTTTTCCCTGGAACCGCAGGAAGTGCTACACCTGCCCCTACACCTCCCCCCCTCACCCCCATCCCAGGCCCCAGGAAGACTTTTCACATCAAGCAGATGTTCACCTGCACATCTGCTAATGTGATACTGCATCCACTGTTCCCATTGTGGCCTCTTCTACATCGGGGAAACCAAGCGGAGGCTTGGGGACCGCTTTGCAGAACACCTACGCTCGGTTCGCACTAAACAACTGCACCTCCCAGTCACAAACCGTTTCAACTCCCCCTCCCCCTCCCATTCCTCAGACGACATGTCCATCCTGGGCCTCCTGCAGTGCCACAATGATGCTACCGGAAGGTTGCAGAAACAGCAACTCATGTTCCGCTTGGGAACCCTGCAGCCCAATGGTATCAATGTGGACTTCACAAGCTTCAAAATCTCCCCTCCCCCTACCGCATCCCAAAACCAGTCCAGCTCGTCCCCGCCTCCCTTACCTGTCCTTCCTCCCACCTATCCCCTCCTCCCACTTCAAGCCCCAGCCCCATCTCCTACCTACTAACCTCATCCTGCCCCCTTGACCTGTCCGTCCTCCGTGGACTGACCTTACCTCCTCCCTAACTCCCCACCTACACTCACCTTTACTGGCTCCATCCCCGCCTCTTTGACCTGTCTGTCTCCTCTCCACCTATCTTCTCCTCTATCCATCTTCTATCTGCCTCCCCCTCTCTCCCTATTTATTTCAGAATCCCCTTCCCCTCCCCCATTTCTGAAGAAGGGCCTAGGCCCGAAACGTCAGCCTTTCTGCTCCTGTGATGCTGCTTGGCCTGCTGTGTTCATCCAGCTCTACACCTTGTTATCTGGGGACTTATATACTTAATGGTAAGGTCCTGGAACATGTTGCTGAACAAAGAGATCTGGAGTGCAGATTCATAGTTCCTTGAAATGGAGTCGCAGGTAGGGAGGATAGTGAAGAAGGCGTTTGGTATGCTTGCCTTTATTGGTGAGTGCATTGAGTATAGGAGTTGGGAGGTCATGTTGCAGCTGTACAGGACATTGGTTAGGCAACTATTGGAATACTGCATGCAGTTTTGGTTTCCCTGCTATAGGAAAGATGTTGTGAAACTTGATATGGTTCAGAAAAGATTTGCAAAGGTGTTGCCAAGGTTGGAGGTTGAGTTATGGGAAGAGGCTGTATAGACTGGGACTACTTTCCCTGGAGTGTTGGAGGCTGAGGGGTGACTTACGGAGGTTTATAAAATCATGACAGATGTGGATAGGGTAAATAAACATGGTCTTTTTCCCAGGGTGGGGGAGTCCAAAACTAGAGGGTGTAGGTGAAGTGAGAGGAGGAAGATTTAAAAGGGACCTAAGGGGCAACTTTTTCACGCAGAGGCAGGTGTGTGTATGGAATGACCTGCTAGAGGAAGTGGTAGAGGCGAGTACAATAGCAACATTTAAAAGCGAACTGGATGGGTATTTGAAATAGCAAGTGTTTAGAGGGATGTGGACCAAATGCTGGCAAATGGAACTAGATTTATTTAGGATATCTGATCGGTATGGACAAGTTGGACCAAAGGGTCTGTTTCTTTGCTGTACCATATGATAACTTGAATCTGTCATTTGTTTATGCATTGTCAGGGGATATTCCTTCATCCAGTGTATGTTAATTATTCATTTAATTTATTTGCTTATTCTGTGGGTAAAGTCAACATTCGATGGAGGAACATTAATGGGCATTAAACTTTTGAAAGATCCTTTGAATCCAAACTATGCCCAAAAAGTAAGACATTAATGGAACATAGGTCGTTATTTTGTAAATGAATTCCTTTTTATTCATTCACAGGATAGGATGTAGGCATTGCTGACAAAGCCAATTTTTAATTGACTATTCCTAATTTCCATTAAGATGGTGAAGGTGGTGAGCCACATTCCTAAAAACTGAATACTTTGGGAGGCAATTTCAGAGAACAGTTGAAGAGTAAGCTGCATTACTAGGAGTCTGAACTCGCGTACAAGACTGGAATGGATGAGTATGGGAGACTGTTTTCCCTTAGGATATTAATGAGCCAGATGAGTTTTTAATGACATGGTCACCATTACTGATGTTAACTGTATATTCCAGATTTAAGTAACTGAATTCAAATTCTCCTTTGTATACTTATGGCTTTAGATCATATGTCAAAGCCCTCCTATTTTACTCATTCAATAAAATAACAATTGATCCATGTTTGTCCTTTTACCTTTTGTACCTAATTTTATGAATTTGTCCTGGTGGATAGTGTTTCTCTATAGTAAGCTGAGGTTCATGTCTACTCAGACAGTCCATAAGATATAGGAACAGAAGTAGGCTGTTCAGCCCTTCGAGCATGCTCTGCTGTTCAGTGAGATCATGGCTGATCTGATAATCTTCATATCTACTTTCTTGCCTTTTCCCCTTAACCTTTGAGACCCCCAACTGATTGAAAATCTGTCTCTCAGCCTTGGGGAGAGTTCTGGAGTTGGCCTCAACAGCCCTCTGTGGGAAAGAATTTCACAGAACAACCCTGCAAGAGAAGAAATTCCACCTCACCTCTGTCCTTATACTGAGAACTTGCCCTTTGGTCTTCGACTGTCTCATTAGGGGAACAACTTTTCCGCATTTACCTTGTCAAGTCTCTTAAGAATCTTGTACGTTTCAGTCAGGTCGCCTCTCATTCTTCTATTTTGCAATGAGTACAGGACCAATCTGTTAAATCTGTCCTAAAAAGGCACTTCCTCCAAACCTGGTATTATCCTAGTGAACTGTCTCTGGACTACCTCTAGTGCCAGTATATATATCCTCTTAGGCAAGGGGCCCAGAACTGTTTATGGTATTCCAGCTGTGGTCTGACTGGTACCTTGTATTACCTTAGAAAAATCTGCTCTGCTTTTGTACTGTGTACATTTGAAATAATGGCCAGCATTCCATTTGCCTTCCCAATTATCTTCCAAACTTGAGTGTTAGCTTTTTGTGATTCCTGGATGAGAACTCTCAAATCCCTCAGTTCTGTAGCTTTAGTCTGTCTCCATTTAAATAATATTTAGCTCTTCTAGCTCCTCTAGCCAAAGTGCAGAATCTCACGCTTTCCAAGTTATATTCCATTTGCCAAGTTTTTGCCTACTAGCTTAACCTGTACATCCCTCTGCAGACTCTGTCATCCACAAGCTTGGCTACAGTACATTCACTTTCCTCATCCAAATTGTTAATATATATTGTAAATAATTGTGGCTCCACCATTGATCCCTGTGACACACCACACTAGTTACAGGTTGCCATCCTGAAAACGTAGAGGCGCACCCCCTCCTCCCAAAAACGACCCCCATCCCAATTATCTCAACTTTCTGTCTTTTATTAGTTAGCCAATCTTCTATCCATGCTAATATACTATCACCAATAGCATTCGCTCTTATTGAGTAGGCACCTTATTAAATGCTTTCTGAAAGTTCAAATATATTATGTATTTGAATTTATTACATCCGCTGCTTCCCCTTTACCTATCTTGCTTGTTACCTCCTCAAAGAATTCTCGTAAAATTTGTCAGGCTGTATTTCCTCTTCATGAAGCAATGCTGACTGCTTATGAGCCTTTGTCCTGCAAGTTCTAGAACAGCATTGATAATCCTGGAACAGGGTCTGGTAATAGAAAAAAATAGAAAATTCAAGAATAATTAGTTTTTAGATTTCATCAATTATCTCAGCTGGTTGGAAATTATTTTGTTAATGAATTTACTTTGGAAGCCTTTAATATAAAATACATGCTGTTGCTAACTGGTGTATAGAAATTAAAACCTGGATCTTCTGAGGAGTGGCAATCACTGTAAAATTGCCACTCTGCTCCTACTTTTCTACACACTAACACAGCTCTGCATTTCCAACCCTAGCTACTTTGTAAATATAATGCTGTCTTCCATCAAATTCTGTTCTTGTAGCATTGGATTGTCCGGGAGAAGGGAAGCTATGCTTTTCCTTTCGATGACACTAGCTACTGTAGTCTCCTAAGTTTTCAATAGACTGAAAATCTTTGGGGCATTTGAACAGCTTTTCACTGTGGTGAATGTGTCTATTAACAGTGGGGTGGGGGACATTGAGATGGAAAGGTGGGATTGAGATGGGAAGTCTTATAAGGTTAGTGATGATGGGGGTAGGGAAGATGTCGGATGGTGGAACCTAGAAAGATTGGGTCGGGAGTGTCTCTGGATATCTAGATTTAAATCCGGGTTTTCTGCATGATACTTTTTAGATAGTTGTTCAGATAAGTAAATCAAAACTGTCTGAAGTCTCCAAAAGTCAAAGACCTTTTTAGGGTGTACTGATGAGCAGGAGAATTGTTCATTTGAAAATTAAGACTTAGCTGAAAATTCCCAGAGTCATTGCACTGAGACTTCTGTGGTGTCTCAGCACATGCCTAGGGCATAAGGCCCTATCATCTTTGATTCGGAATCCAGAAGATTGGGCATAAGACCCACAAGATATGTGCCCATATCACTAATCTGTTTTTTTTTTAAAATATTCCAATATTGCCACTTAGAAAATCATGTACTAAGAGAGCTCTGATGATCAAATCAGCTGATTGAATCACAAGAACCCACCATATGCCGCAACATTATCAAATGAGAGAACATACATTAAGAAATTACTGCATACTACATTATACTATACCATATTGAGTGCTTTCAGAATTAGATATATGTCACTGCTGAAATGGTAAACTACCTGTGTTTTGTTCGCAGAAAATGACATAACTTCAACATTGTGATTTTCCCTTGTAATTCATCTGGACACTATATTGCACATAGTAGAATACGTGACATATGAGGAAATGTTAAAGAAATCGGAGCACCTCAAAGTTGACTATTTGTTTCATATTTATCTACAGATCCAAGTGTCATATTAAATACCTTGGTGGCGCACAAAGATGCAGTATGGGGTCTTTCATTTAGTGGTATAAAGAACCGTTTGCTGTCTTGTTCAGCAGATGGCACTATTCGGTTATGGAACCCAACTGAGAAGTCACCTTGCCTTTGTACATACAATGTAGAAGGGGGTAAGTGTAAGAGATGTTTCAGTTATTGGATTTAACTGATTTTTTTTTATTAGTACTGTCTCTTTCTGGCTTTAGAAATAGCAAAATACAAGCTTTTATCTCAACATTTTGTTGAGATTAGATCAGTTGTGAAAGAAGTAGTAGGTGTGAGTTCTGGTTTATGAGAAGAACAATGTGAGGCTGAGCCCAAAAAATTAAATTCCTTATATAAATTCTATGCAAAGCTTAATGAGTGAGGATTAAAGATGCGACCATATTGCTCTTTCATTAATGAGAATGGATTGTATGTTGTTCCTACCTGGTTTCCATGTAAAGCTAACACGTTATTAGGTGAAATCAGTGTTCCTGCCCTGCACACAGGCTATTCTTTCCTAAAGAACATTAAAAATTATAGTTGAAATTATGGAATAATTAAAGGCATATTTTGCAATCTTTGCATATTCATCATGTACAGGACTATTTATTTGTTATGATCCCCACTTGGAATGACCTTGACAGTCGTGCATTTTGCCCCCTTTCTTTTGTGGTTACTGTGGTGTATCAACATCCCTCCTCCCATTTCTTAGAATTAACAAGTGGTATATTTGTAGGGTGAGATTCAGCAATGTGTCATGTAATGGTAGTAAATAATGATAGTAAACTTGATGTTCTGCAGACAAAGTATCAAATATTAAAATTTGAAAGTATTCCAGTTAGATTTGCTTCATCTAAAGTTTGTCCTTATAAATGGCTTGTTTCCATCACTTATTCGTCAGGTAAAGAATGATTAAATGTGGAATAAAACCTCATTTACTCAAATATGCCTGAGTAGCCCTAATGTCATTAATATATTATACTCTGCCCCACTGTAAACTCGTTGCTTGAAAAATTTAAATTGTCTATTTACTGCCAATCCAACAACAGTTTTATGCTGTTTGTACAGTTAGTATTAAGATTTGTGATTACTGTGTTTTAACGAATTTTTCAGAAAATGGAATCCCTACATCAGTTGACTTTGTAGGTGCTGATCCTGCACACATTTTGGGTTCCTTTAATAGTGGCAACACTGTCATTTATGATATTGAAACTTCTCAGCCTTTAGTGATGTTGGCATCGCAGGTAGACGCCGGTGAGTTGCATGAAAACGTTATTGAAAAATTTGTGTGTTGATTTTGTCCATTACAAAACAAAATGATGAAGTTATCAATGTTTCAGCTTCATAGTAGGTAATCAATGAGGAGAATCTTCTTAAATTCCATCTTTTTCTATCCCACCCATCCCTCACTTGCTTAAAATCTACTTAGTGACAAATTGATATAAAACTCCATATTCTCGTATGAAGATTTATTCCTTCACAGCACCAATTGTTCTCCCGAGTAGTTCATTGTGTTATTTCTTCATGTAAACTCTGACTTCCTACAATGGCAACTTTTTACTGTGGTTTGTCTGTGTTTAATGAATTGGTATTGAAATAAAATCAAGAGTTTAGGATGGCTTCATATTTACAGAAGGTAGAATGTGGGGCAAAAATCTTCCTTAGATTTTTAAGGTTTTAGCAAAGATTTATAGCTTGAGTTGTGGGTGAGTTTGTTCACTTGCTGATTTTTGTTCAGATGTTTCGTCACTACACTAGGTAACATCATCAGTGAGGCCTCCAATGAAGTGATGTTGTTCTACTCTGCTTGGAATTTATACTGTCTAGTCCATTATGTTGAGTAGTGTCATTTCCGGTTTTGTTCTGTGTTGGGTTTGTATATGGCGTCCAATTCTATATGTTTGTTGATTGCATTATGGGTTGAGAACCATGCCTCTAGAAATTCCTGTGCGTGTCTATGTTTGGCTTGGGCTACTATTGTTACGTTGTTACAGGTAAACAGATGGCCTTCATTATCCGAGTGTACTGATATTAAGGAAAGTTCATTGTGTCATTTTGCTGCTAGCTAATGTTCGTGTATTCTGATGGCTACTTTCCTTCCTGTCTGTCCAATGTAACGTTTATGGAGTCGTTGCATGGTATTTTGTAAACTAGTTGGTTCTGCCTGTTGTGGGAATGGGGTCTTTAATCCTTGCAAGTGTTTGTCATAGAGTGGCTGTGGGCTTGTGTGCTACCATGATCCCTAGTGGTCTTAGGAGTCTCGTCAGCTCTGATATGGTCTTGATGTAGGGCAGTGTGGCCAGTGAGTTAGGGGGTACTGTGTCCTCTTGTCTATTTGGTAGGCACTCGCGAATGAAGTTGCGGGGATATCCGTTCGTAGTGAAGATTTTATATAGGTGCTCTTCCTCTTTCCTGTGTAGTTCTGCCGTGTTGCAGTGAGTGGTGGCCCATTTAAATAGTGTCCTAATACAGCTTTATTAGTGGACGTTGGGTTGGTTGCTGTGGAAGTTGAGGAAACTGACCAAATCCTCAACTTCCACAGTACGATACTCAAAATACAATCAACAAACATATAGAATTGGACCCCATATACAAACCCATGCAGAACAAAACCAGAAATGACACGACTCACCATAACGGACCGGACATTATAAATTTCAAGCAGAGTAGAACAACGTCGCTTCATCGGAGACCTCACTGATGATGTTATGCATGGTGATACAACGTCTAAACGAAAACAAGCCAGCTTGGCGAGCAAGTCAACAATCTCATCTTCCTTAGACAACAACAACAACAACAAAAACAAAGTTGCTGGAAAAGCTCAGCAGGTCTGGCAGCATCTGTGAAGGAAAAACAGAATTAATGTTTCGGGTCCGGTGACCCTTCCTCGGATCGTCTTTCTTAGATCTTTATTTACAGTTTATAATGCTAATTGTGTGCATAAGGGAGGTGGAAATGTGGCTGCTTTTATGCTGTTGAAAAATGTAGTGCAGCAAGTTGAATTTAAAGAATCAGAAAGGATAGAAAGAAAGGAAGGTTAGAAGTCAAAAAGGTTTTGGAATAAAAGGCAAAAGGAATGGAAATTGTTGTAAAGAAGAAGACAAAGCATTGGTCCAGACCAGATGTTAATAGCAGAACAAAGGTCAGCTCTGACCAAACACAAAAAAAAGTACAGACACTGTGTGTAAAAGATGTATCAACATAGAAAACAGGGTTCATTGTCTGAAGTTGTTGAACTCCATGGTGAGTCCAGAAGGCTTAAAGTGCCTGATTTGAAAGTTAGGTGCTGTTCTTCCAGCTCGTGTTGGTTTCACTGGAACACTGCTATTTTCTTTTCCTTTCTATGTTTTGTACCCTGAAATGTTTATTTCACAAAGTTGTCCACTTGGTTGTTAATTCTCCGTAATGTGAGTAGAGCTAAATGATTAAATATTATTTGGGTCATGCAAAAGAAGAATAGTATGTTCAAGTTGTGAAACAAATTGATGTACTTTGTTGTTCTTTGTAAATTCAAAACCAATATTTGCTTTTATCTGTAGGAGTTAAAGACAAATAAGTACATTTTAAATGAACAGATAATTATCTGTATTGTTCTCTCTTCAGTCCTCTTCCTAGCGTGTAAATTTAGATTCTGCATCACATCTGAACAAAAGTAAGGTGGATGGCCTGAATCTGGGCCAGCACTGCTTCTGGGAGGAGTGGAAAGAGGAATGGATACCTTGCTAATTTTGCTTCTAAGTGCAGAAACATAGCTTACTCATATCTTCTGGGCAAGCTAGTTTACTGCTTCCTCATATCAGTGTGATTCATTCATTACCTATTACATTTACACTGTTGCTACTTTCAAATTCAAAATGCAGTGATTATCACTGATAGACTTGAAAAGATAGTAATGTTAGTGAGAGCAGCAATTCATAAGACCATAAGATGAGGGGCAGAAGTAGGCCATTCAACCCATCAATTCTGCTCTGCCATTCAATGAGGTTTTGACTGATGTGAAAATCCTGAACCCCACTTCCTAACCTTTCGCATAACCTGACTGAATAAGTATATTCCACGCTGAGGTAGACAGATTTTTAATGACCCAGCCTGTGCAGTAAAGAATTCCACAGAGTAACTTCCTCTGAGGGAAGAAATTCTTCCTCTGATGCCAGATTCTCCCATGAGGAAAGTAATCTCTGATCATTTACCCTGTCAAGCTCACTACATGTTTCAACAAGTCATTCTCTATTTATAAGCTCCAGTCTTTTTCTAAATAAAAGGCAACATTCCGTTTACCTTCAATATTACCTTCTGAACTTGTATGCTGGGTTTTTCTATATCAGGCAAGAGGACTCTCAAATCTCTCTTTGCAGCAATTTTCTATATTCTTTCTTGACTTAATTAGTATTCAGCTCCTCAAGGAAGGCTAATGCCAGAATTTCTTAAAGCGAAGTTTTGATGTAAAAAGATAGTTATGATTCGTAGATTCAGTTGAACTTGTATTTGTTTAGTTTCTCAAAATTCTTTCAAATGTATAGTAATAATTGTGTTGATTTCTGTACACTTTAAAAACCTGTTATTCATTACTCATACATTTCTATTCAATAATTCAACTTGTGCATCCATTTTATCATTACCTCAGTGTTGTCCACTGTACATGTCTCACATAACAGACGACCCAACTGTCGAAACCTTTAAAAATTTGTATGATGAATGTACATCATGTCAGTTACCCTGGCTGTTAAGGATGGAGAAATATTAATCCCTGTGGATATGAGCAGTGAGAAGTAGCTGTTTCAAGGCCCTTCACTGAACGGTCATCAACCAAAATGTGATATGGAATCACATAGGAGATCTTAAGATAAATTATCGAAACATGAAAGATTTGAAAGAGCCTCTTAATGGATGAAAGAGAAGTAGAGAAGCGGTTGAGGTTTCAAAAGGAAATTCCAGTGCTTAGTGCCTGGGCATCAGCACTTAATTTTCAGAGCTATAATCTTTTAATTATTATTATTATGTTGTGCCACTTCTATTTCATCAAAATTTCAATCAGCAAATTTCTGATATGGCTTAATAATTGCTGCATAGTTTTAGTGTGAACGTTTTCTGACTAATATGATTTTCATCAGTTTTTGTCATGTTTTGTGTTTACAGCTTCTCCTTTAGCCAATCAGATTAATAGAGTTGTCAGTCATCCCACATTGCCCGTTACCATCACGGCTCATGAAGATAGGCATATTAAGTTTTTTGATAATAAAACGGGTAAGCAATAGCAAGTTATTGAAAACTGTGAACAACGTTATTGTAAAGTTATAGAATCTTCTGGCTTACCTGTAAATAATTTTGTTATTTAGGTAAATTGATCCATGCTATGGTCGCTCACCTGGATGCTGTTACTAGTCTGGCAGTAGATCCTAATGGAATCTACTTGATGTCTGGAAGTATGTAGTTGCTTTCTTTTAATTAAATGTTCGGAATAAATTGACCTTCAGGTTGTATTTTTATTTGATCTATCTAGATAATTTTTAAGTTAGAATAAATAACTTAGCAAAATATTCAACAAATCCACAGTTTCAAAAAACTATTTAATTTATTATTAATGTTCGATTATGTAATAATGAAATGTTGCAACTAGTTGCTGGAATGTGTGTCTTGGGGAGAAATTTTACAATAGATAGACTAGAAAATTAGATTAATATTGACAGTAATTGGCATTAACATGGTTTTATAAATGAAATATTAACCTGAGCCTTTTTTAAATTGTATCAGGTCATGATTGTTCTATACGTCTTTGGAACCTGGATAGCAAGACATGTGTGCAAGAAATTACTGCTCATCGGAAAAAATGTGATGAATCTATTTATGATGTAGCTTTCCATCCATCAAAAGCATATATTGCTAGTGCAGGAGCCGATGCCCTTGCCAAAGTATTTGTGTAACAACTGCTAAAATATTTTTGCCCCATCATAGCAGGTGAGCTGGAAATTAACAGGAATTGCTTCACTGCCATTAGTTACTCGGTTATTATGTAACACTAAGTACTACTCTGTTCTGCCTGGGCAATGCTCTTCCTGATAGACTATCATAGGCAGGTGTCTAGTGGCGCAGTATCACCAAATCCTTGAATAATGTCAGGCAAAATCATTTAATTGTAATTACTGTATCTAAAAAAAAAAAACCCAGTATTTGTAGCCTTGACTGGATTTGAACTGAGCTACTTTACTGTAATGTAGATGTTTTCAAAGTCACGTGGAAGTTACTCTTACAACAGTAAATACTTTGGACTCTTGTGTCCTGCCTTATGGTTGAGATTGTGGTGCAATGGTGGGCAGTGAATTTACAACTAAACCATAGAACGTCATCCTTCAATTCCTTTTATTAATTTTCCAACATCAACATACTTTTAGTCAACTTTAAGCATTAAAAAATAAATTAAATATATTTTAATCTTCGTTTTGCAGAATTTTTGACAGGATGTCTAGTTTTTATAAGTCTTTTGTATAATTTTCCTGTCAGAATAATGCTCCAAATAGGGTTAATACTGAAATGTTTCATTTGGTTAAAACCCAAACCATCCTCACTGACCCACTATTATGTAACTACATTCTTCCCTTGCCCAGCTTAAAATCCTCAGTGAATCCTTCCATATGGATGCTATTTTAACATCACTATAAAAGCTGTTAAGTGTAATCATTGAAGACTGTAAATGTGTTGCGATGAAACACAGGGGGTTTAATACCCACAATTAACTCTTTTAAAAAAAATTGCAGCATCCTATCACTATGTGATATTTTGTACATCATACTGTATTTACAAGTTTATTTATCAAGGGTTAACCATCTTAATGCTATTGGCCTACTGTTATTTATTTCATTTTTCTGTTGGTCTTTATATCCCTCATGTTTTGTGTGTGTTAATGAGTCCTGTATATCTTTGTCTAGCATGGGACTTTTACAGAATAGAGAGCTCTAAATATAGGTTTAAAATGGAACACTGTTTATATTACAGCCCAGGATTTCCTGTCAGATTACTTGCTTTAGGGGCTTCACCCTAATCCTGTGTAACTGAAAAAAAATGTGTGAAATCTGGAGTGAAAAGGTTTTATTTTGGATTAAATATAGAATATTGAAATAGCCAAATCAAGATTCAGAAATCTGCTGTGTTTGGTCTAGCTATCCCAGCTTTACAAAGTGCTTCAGTTAATGGTGTAACTAAACAATTTGTTTGTGTAATGCATGATTAATACAATAAAGTATTTTTTCTAGTCTTCCACAGATTTCTGATGAGTTTGCAAGTTCTGATGAGTTTTGTAAGGTTTTGTTTTACAATACATGATTAAGTAAATTTTTAATATTGTACCACATAGCTAATTACAGCTGTTTAAAAGTAATGTATATAAAATGCATATAATAAATATTAAATGGTGTACCTGTACGCTAGTGTTTGTTATATTACTTGAGTTGTACAGCTTCAAAAATGTTTTGAGTGTTTTGTGGAATCCAGAATACCCCTAATTGTCCTAAATATTTAAAATAAGGCTTACATTTGAATTTATGACCATTCTTTTATCATTTTTCTATTTAGAAAAGGGAGTTTTTTTTTAAAAGCCTTTGAGGTGTAATTGCATTGTCCTTTGGTAAAATCGCATTTTCTAAATAATTGTTGGAAGTATAAAGTATAACCTGAATTTGAAATATACATTTGAAACAAAGCATTTTGAATTCATCATCCAAAATCCTTGCACAAATTCCTAAAGCTCTTCTGGTAATTTTTTCAAAGAATGTATGCAAGCAATATATGTTTTTCAAATATGTATGAATGATCTAATCTTTGATAAGGAGTCACTATCAAAATATCAGTAGTGTGACTTACTGTGAAAAGGATGAAAATAGCTTCCATACAGGTTAGTAGATTTAGCAGGTGAGTGTCAGATGATAAAATTTAATCCAGAGAAATAGAGAGAAAATTTTTAAGAGGAATACGTAGAAAAAATAATGTAAACGCTTAATGATTAAAATTTAAAAAAGCCATATGTGAAAGTTCATAGCGGGGGCTAGTTGATAAAGCTGCTAAAGAAGTTGTTAATGGAATTGTCAGGTTTATGAAATCGCCAAAGTACAGAGGTAATGCCAAGCCTGTGTAAATAATTATTTAGATTCTTATTACTACGTTGATTTCACTTTTGTTTTGTTTATTCAATGAAGGCTAAAGTGCAGAAGAGATTCACACAGATTGTACCTAGGAGTAGAGGCCAGAGATATTGATAGCACATTTCGTTAGAATTATGATTAGAGATGCTGAAAATCATGTAAGTTTATAAGGTAAATAGGACAAACTATTTATTTCATTGGTTAGTGAGTCAGTGAGTAGAGGTTATAATTGACATTCAGTGGCTTTTTCTGTTAAGTCATTCAAACAGAATACTTAATCTTTAGAAAGGGATAGTAATTCTAAAAAGGAAAGTTTTGCGATTTTTAAAGGAGAAATCAGTTCCTTTGCTGAAATGCTGATCCCAGGAGGGGTTAGTGGCAGCAATGTAAGCCAGAATGAGGCACGAGCTGCCTTTGGTGTGGTGGGTCCAGTGTTGAGTTTGAGCCCAGTTCGGGACCTGGCAGCTTCAGTAGCAGCTGCGTTGCTGAGATTGGCCCAGGGTGGGCACATGGCAGTGACATCAGTGGAGGCAAGATGGCGACACGGATCCAGCGGTGAGGCTCCAGGACCTAGCTGGATCTGGGTGCCTGATGACGGAGGTGGTGGCATTCTGGCTGCGGCAGACTTCAGGCACCTGAGTGTTTGCAGATGTAGGAGCATATCTGTCAATCAAGGACAAAGATTTAGGAAGCAGGCAGGATTCAGGCAAGTGGAAGATGTTTATTCAAGCAGAAACCGGTTAATGCAGGGGAAAGGCCCAAAGGATCTTCCCTGAATCTGGCCTAGATGTGAGAAAGCAATTTTCCCTTAAACTTTGGCCCAGGAAGAGAGATCAATGACACACACACACACTCTGATTTTTACAGTGAAATACAGCATTTTATACATTTTCTGTTACAATAATCTAATACAGTGTAGTCACTGTCCTTCCCTTTTAATCTATACACCCAATCCTGTGGGACAGCTAATCAAAGATGGACATTCCTCTGGATAGCCCCAGGTTCCCATGATCTTATGACGTTTACCAGACATTGTAATCTCTAGGCCTTGCGATCTTTTTATGCATCCTTTTCATTCGCATTCCAAAGCTACTGGCTAAACACCCTTGGATTTGTTTCAGGCTGCTTATCTCTGGGGACAGCTTGAATTCTATTATTCATTGTATTACATGTGCTTTTCTTTTATCAAATTCAGCCATTCCTCTTGTATTTCCCACTGTCGTAATTACATATGTAAAAATACAAAAGACAGTTAGTTTTAACTAATTGCTATAAGGTTAATTTCTATTATAAAGTTAGTTGTAAAGTTGTACAGCTACTTCTGCTCTTAGCACATTGTAATTAATGGGTTGTGAACAAGCTGTCTTGTCAGGGTGCAAGATAAGGTGTTTCCTAAGGTTAGTTAACTTTCACATCTAGTTTTAAATGCTTTTCCTCTAATGCTTGTATTATACTTTGGTTACATGTTAAAGCTACTTCTATGATTAAGGAATTTGTAACTAGAGTCTATTTAATATTGCAGGTGGTTTCAAAGAAGCAACTATTTACTACAAAGTAACTTTAGCTGTTGTCTTTGCAGCTGCTGAGAGAGTTAATCTGGCTGGTTCATGGGTTGAGATCTGCACCTGGTGTTGTTCATTTACTGGACAATCATTCTTTCATTAATGAGGCTGGAATTAATCATAGAATCCCTACAATGTGGAAACTGGCCCTTCGGCCCAACAAGTCCACACCGAACCTCAGAGCATCCCACCCAGACCCATCCCCCTATAACCCACCTAATCTACACATCCCTGAACACTATGGGCAATTTAGCATTGCCAATCCATCTAACCTGCACATCTTTGGACTGTGGGAGGAAACCAGAGCACCCGGAGGAAACCCACGCAGACACGGGGAGAATGAGCAAACTCCTCACAGACAGTCGCCCGAGGCTGGAATCGAACCCAGGTCCCTGGCACTGTGAAGCAGCAGTGCTAACCAACGTGCCACCCACATCACTTATCTGTTCTTAGGCATTCTCTTGTCAAAACTGTCTTGCATGGTTGATGGTAAGGCTGTTTTGCTGACCTTGGAGTAGTCTTGTTCAAAGATACCATTGTGTTTCACATAAATGTTAGAGCAGGCTGTCCCATTTTGTTTTAACCCTTGTCGGCCATTTTGTGTCTTCAAACATGGGCCGTTTGGCGTAAAGTAGGTACGTGTCACTTTGTATGGACAGGTACAGGTCACTCCTACAGCAGACTGAGGGATGGACTTTTTAGCTTTGTTTTTCTGATGAGGAAGGCTCATGGCGTGATCTGGATGTTTTGTTTTGACGGTTTCTTTTACTACTGCTTCTGTTTTTAATCCTGCCTTTTGAGACTAAGATGGTGCTGGAAAATGGTGACATTGAACACTTTTCATGTACTTCTGTATTCCTGTACTCAAGTACACGTGACAATAAAATCTGAAAATTTAAAATCTGAACATTGTCCATCAATTAACCAACAGAAGCAAGCCACAAGATTTTCACATTCATCAACAAGAAGTGGCAGGTGGAATCTAATTTAGATAAATGTGAGGTATTGTACTTTGATAAGGCAAACCAGGGCAGGACTTATACGTTTAATGGTAGGGCCATGGGGAGTGTTGCCAAACACTTAAGGGTGCAGGTGCATATTTCCTTGAAAGTGGAGTCACAGTTAGATAGGGTGGTGAAGAATGTGTTTGGCATGCTTGCGTTTATTGGTCAGAACGTTGAGTATAGGATTTGGGATGTCATTTGTGAATGTACAGGATGTTGGCGAGGCTGCTTTTAGAGTAATGCATACAATTCTAGTCACCCTTCTACAGGAAGGGCTGCAGAAAAGATTTACAAGGATGTTGCTGGGTCTGGAGGGTTTGAGTTTTAGGGAGAGGCCGAATAGGCTGGGTCTATTTTCCCTGGAGCATCAGAGGCTGAGGGGTGACCTTGTGGAGGTTTATGAGGGGGATGGATAGGGTGAATAGCTAAGGTCTTTTCCCAGTGCAGGGGAGTCCAAAACTAGAGGTATTGGTTAAAGATGAGAGGGGAAAGATTTAAACAAGAGTTGAGACGTAACTTTTTCATGCAGTGTGTGTTGTGTATATGGAACGAGCTGCCAGAGAAAGTGGTGGAGGCGGATACATTACAACATTTAAAAGGCATCTGGATGCGCACATGAGTGAGGGTTTAGAGGGACGGGGGCTGATTGCTGGCAAATGGGATTAGGTCAGATTGGGATGTCTGGTCGGCACGGATAAATTGGACCAAATGGTCTGTTTCCATGCTGTATGATTCTATGATGCTATAAAAGCACATTTCATTTTTTATTCTTGAGATATACAATAAACTAAGTATTATCAACTTAATACGTTAAAAATTATGTATGGTTTGAACTCAGTTTTACTTCTCTTCCACCAGCACTCCTAGCTCTGCTCCTGAGAGGTCCCTTATTTTACCAAATCTTGAAGGTTCACTCACCTTTGCTGGGACTAACCCAGAAGGTTTGGCACAGTTCACTGAAACGTGCTTCTCCTTAGTATTCCAGCTATTCCTTGATTTAGAAGTTCTATGAAGAGCCCTTCCTTTTGTGGCTATGGCATTGTCCAAATTTCACAGGCCTGCTACTTGGATGCCTCAACTCCTTTATCAGTTTGCAGTCAGAGATCCAACTACCTACCACAGCTCTGCAGCTAATTCTGTTGACGTCTTTCTACCATGTAGCTCTGAAAACCACTATAGATTTTCTCCACAAGCTGCAAACTCAGGCAAATCTTTCAACTGCTTTTCCCTCAAAATCCAAACGGAGACAGAGGACCACCTGGATTCATGTAATGAACAGAAGTTAGTATTCTCTGTGCTTGCAATGTTGCCCTTACTGACTATTGATGCCTATTGGCTCTGAATTCAGAGAGACACAGTCTTCACTGAAGCAAAACTGAAACTTTGTCAGTTCCCAATCTAAACTGTCTGGATATATCAATAAATAGGTACTGGGGAATCAAATAAAGCTAACTTCTAACCAAGATGCCATTCTGAGTCACTATGTCAGTGACAGTATGAATGTTTTGGAATAGTTCAGTCAGAAATGCAAACCAATTACTTTACCTTCAATATAACTCATTGATTTCACCACCCATGTAGAGAATTTATATCTCTACTATAAGTTTCAGGAATTTACTACCCTCTTTCCCAGAGGTGCTAGATATTAGCTCCACAAAATAAGCTAAAAATAAGTCCCTGGCCTGTAGTAAGCGGTCCAGAAATGGATGATCTATTGT